TCTTCCTCACTTACCCTTCTCCACTCATTCCTATGTAGCAGAAGTCAGAATTATGTGTGGTATGCTTGGTCTGTCTTCTCCTCCCTCTCAGACTCTCACCTCCAGAGTATTTCCAGGCTAGTTTCTCCTGTTTGTTTACATTGATTTGCCTTTCATTTGCTCTGCGAGGTGTAGCTGAGGCACTCGCTTGGGAAGGCAGGGAAGAGGCGCTGTTTGTTTCTCTGTGGACAGGGGAAAGCGCAGACCTGGCGTGTGTTTCGTTTTCTGAGGCACCAGTTTCCTCAGTCTGTTTCAATCTATTGCAGGTGATGTCAGAAGGTGGCCCTCAGCCTCAGTCCATCATCCATTTCTCTATCAGTAACCAGACGGTGGCTGAAGTTAACCGCCTGGGCCAGGTGGTGGCTAAGGCTCTTGGAACAGCCACGATACAGGGTACCATTCAGGCGGTCAGTGAAGACACAGGAAAAATAATTGTTTTCTCCAAGGTATCACCCTATCTTGTTTTGTAATTCCTCATTGGTTCCTCTGGCTTATTTCCCTTGCAGCGCTCCTGTCATCCCATGCTAGAGGCACGCCGTGCCTGGACAGACGTAAAACTTATTGTAGGGTTGTTACCTAGTTTGTTGGTTGGCTTTATAGTTGAAGTGAGAGGAAAGGTGGCTAGAGGGACAAATGCCTGACTAACTGGCACCAGTGTCAATACACCTCTGCTTTGGTTGAAACAAAGTAGGTGTTTAATTCATGGGGGAAATCAATGGGGCACCGAAGAACTCCCTGCATGGCTAGCAGGCAGGTTCCTTCGGCCCCTCTCTTGGTGGCCACCGTGCCATGTTCGCTTACTGTTTTGCAGGGACTGTTACTACTACAGTTCGGCTACCTTTGGGCTTGCATGCAGAGCTAGTTCTCCTGCCAAGCTGCCAGCTGAGCCCCTAGCCAGCCTCCAGGGTGTTTATTTTGGTGTTGGGTCTCCAGACTCCTTCCTCGGATTGTCTGTTTTACTCAGATGTCCCAGAGCATGTTGTTTGCCTTCTATTGCAGGGCCAAGTGGGACTGCAAGTAGTTCAGCTGAGAGCAGTAAGAATCCATGCACCTGCCACTAGGCTTATCACAGCCACCAAGGTTAGCTCTGTAGCTAATATCAGAAACTCCTGTGGCCTGCAGGCGGCCAATGGCTTTCTAGCACTAGCTAGTTGGGGCTGGCATGTGTAACCCTTCTCAGACCCTGCTTCCACATGTATAAAAGGTGCTGAAAACCAGGTTCCCTGAAGTGTGAAGGACTGCTCTATCATCTAGGGCAGTAATTTCCAACCTCCTCAGGCAATGACACCGGCTTAGCAAATGAAGACTTTAGCTGACTCCTGTGCTCCTGTGTAGGCTGGAACCTGGCCCTAGAGTGGGTTACAGCTCTGTGCTCAACTGAATGGGAGCTGGGACATGAGCATGCAGTAAGGCCCAGCAGAGAGATGCCATGAAAGTGGGCAGAGGGAGCCTGGAATATCAGTCACAAGCGCCTCAAGAAACAGTACTAGTTGAGAACTGGGCATCTAGGTCACTGCTGTAAGATAATTTCTGTAGTGCTTTACCCTTGGAATCTAGAAGGGCTCTCAATGCTTTGGGTGTATAAATGAGAAGGAAGTCATGTGCCGGACAGCATGGAAAGTGCACTGAAATGGTGAACTGCTTGCCTGCTGCCAAAGAGCTGAGCAGGGTTGGTGGAATATGCTTGCCGTATACAGTTCCTTTCACCAGTCTAGTGACTGGGGGGGGGGAGGTAAGATTGGATCTTCTGCACACAAGTGTATGCCCCTCTAGGAAGGGGCTATAATTGCAGTAAAGGAGGTTGAGGTTGGACATTAGGAAAAACTTCCTGCCTGTCAGGGTGGTTAAACACTGGAATAAATTGCCTATGGGGGTTGTGGAAACTCTCTCACTGGAGATATTTAGGAGCAGGTTGGACAGACACCTGTCAGGGATGCTCTAGATGGTTCTGGGTTCTGCCGTGAGGGCAGGGGACTAGACTCGATGGCCTCTCGAGGTCCCTTCCAGTTCTAGTGTTCTGTGATTTTCTCCATGGCTGGGCATTAGCAAGGTTGTTAGTGTGTTTCATAATAGGGGTGTGAAAGTGTAACCGTGTACACAGTTAACCAGAAGCCTGGGCTCATCAGTTAACCTTCACGGTTACATGCAGGCTCCCACTATGTGTGGGGAGCCAACTTCAGAGCCAGCTCCTGGTGCTCACCTGCTCCTGGGAAGTCCCCCGCACTGCTGCCTCTGTATCAGAGGCAGGAGTGCGGACAGAGGAAGCAAGGGGGAGCTGCCTGTCGCCCTGCAGTTACATGTTTACTTAATTTTCAGCGGTTACACGTTTATTTAATTAAACACATTTTAACATCCCTGTTTTACAGTAATGGGAGGGGACTCAGAGAATATGCTTCAGAAGGAAGCTGTGTTAGTCTGTTTCAGCAAAAACAACAAGGAGTCCAGTGGCATCTTAAAGACTAACAGATGTATTAGGGCATCAGCTTTTATGGTGGAGCGAGCGGCAGCTCACAAAAGCTTTTCCCTCATACCTTTGTTAGCTTCTAAGAGAAGATGTGATGGCAACAAATTCATGACACTTGCTGCAAACCCCTGCCTACTTTTGAGGGGGTCTTTTTTGGAGGGAATCTCCCCTCCTCCAATGGAAGCGATTCCACACCAAATTGAGCTTAGTTCCAGACTGTAATGTAGGAAACTTCAGCAACACCTGCGTTCCTATGGCAACCGAACTTTTATTTGCAGATGCCTGTTTACGTCATGGGGCTGACCAGCGCGCTGACTCCGTTTGCCTTTGGCAATGCCAACCCAGGGCTGAAATTCCACTGGTCGATGAGCAAACGGGATGTTCTGGACCTTCTCCCCCGACACTCCGAGGTATGGAGCTGTCCAAAAGTCTGCCCTTCCCACCTGCCAGCTGGCAGGTGGGGTCTAAAGCCATCAGGGGTAAGGCAAGGTGCTTATAGAATTCCTTGCTGGGCAGACTAGCACTGCAGACCATATGGTGTGAATGTCAGCATCCCTGCATCCTGGCTTTCTAAATCAGGGCACCAAGTGGCCTCCCCTTCGTCCTCCGAGTCCTTTCTCAGGACAGACAAAACCTCACAGAGTTCTCTGCCCAGGCCTTTGCATGGTGACCTCTGCAGGGACATCGCCATGCTCCCTTGGACTGTCTCTGCTGGGGGTATGTTTTGGGTTGTAAGCGCCATGGGGCAGGGACTGTCCTTAGCTGCCTCCTGGCCCAGGCAGAGCCAGTCGGTGCTGATCTGCGTAGATCTTAAGAGGAATAGTGCTAGGCTCTTGAGAGAGTTGCTCCTCAGCCATTCTACCCAGAGGCAGGGAACTCAGGCTATGTCTACACTATGGGGTTTTCCAGCATATCAGAGGTATCCTGGAAAAACTCGGCCGCATCCAGGGAACGCATCTGCTCTTCTGCTTTTTTTTTTTACGGAAGAGCAGATGCGCTGTTTCGGAAGCCCCGTCTTCCTTCTTCCATGAGGAAGAAGGGCTCTTCCAAAAGAGGAGGCTTTTCTGAAATTTGGCCCAGTGTAGACGGGCCAAATTTCGGAAAAGCCTCTTCCGAAAAAGCTATCAGATCAGTGTAGATCAGCGTAGTCTAGATATAGCCTCATCGTATCTCCCATCCTAAAGAAGAAACCCAAGAAAAAGTGAAACCCAGCATGTGGCAGCTTCCTGCATTTTTCCTTTACTATAAAGGGACAGTTGATCAGAAAGGCCTGAGCAGCCTGCAGTGACAACCCTGCCATCTCTATCAGGTCTCCCTGCAGGTCCTACCTGAGAATAACTTTGCCATGGTTGTACACACTAAGGCGGCTGGGAGAACCAGTATTAAAGTGACAGTGCAATGCCTGAATGTATCTGCTGGCCAGTTGGAAGGAAACCTCGCTGAACTCTCTGATGAAGTACAGATATTGGTAAGTTCCCTGGTCACTCCAGTGGGATGTCTGCCAGCCATGGGAAGGTGTAGAGGGCAGGATCTCATATGTGAAGCAAGGAGGAACAAGGCAACAAAGCCGAGGCAAGATACCAAATCAGGCTGGCAGGTGTGCCCGGGATAGGAATATTCCGTGGACTGCGCATGGACAGGAGCATCACGAACAATGCATTGTATTCACAGTGTGCACAGAGATGTGTACACCCCTGTCGTGATGCATGCACACCCTGGTCGCATTCAGGGGTGGCTGGGGTTCTGTGGACACCCGCAGCGCTCCTACAGGACAACGTAGCCTAATAGCCAGAGTCAGTACTGAAGCCCTTTCCTACAGGGCAGTGTGACCTAATAACCAGAATCAGCCTTTGATGTAAAAGTACATCAGCCTTTGCCCTTGGGGCAGCGTGGCCTAATGGCCAGAGTCTGTAAGGTAGCCCCTTCTTGTAAAGCAGCATGGCCTAATGGCCAGAGTCTATAAGGTAGCCCTTGGTTGCAGAGCATCAAGGCCTAATGGCCAGTACTGTTGCTAGAAGAAAGGGGTGGGGCAGCGATCCTAGTAGGGGGGACCTGGGCCCATCCAAGTGCTGACCCAGGGCCCTGGTAGTGGTGGAGTGGTCTACCACTAGCTCAGTGGGGAATCCCACTGAAACACGCCAAGCTTACTCAGGTGGGAGGGGAGATACCTACTACTTGTGCACCTTCCTGGGTCACTTGCTATAATCCCTGGCAGTGGGGCAATCTGTGAAGCTTTGGGTCCTCGGGCTCCGCAGCACAAGTCACTCCCTTGTGCTCCACCAGCTCTGGAGGTTCATCCCACTTTCCTGGGTCTCCAGCTCCCACTGTTAGGATCTGTGACAGGTCTGTCTCTGGAGCTCCTGCCACAAGTCCTTGCTTTCCCACGTCCAGTCCAGACTGAGCCGAGCAGCTTCCTTTTATACTGAGCCAGCACTTCAAATAGGCTGGGTACATCCAGAGGGGTGGGACTTCCTCTGCCCATAGCGTATTATTAACCCCTTCCAGCCCCATGTGGGGTATGCTCACCCTGTCACAACCTGTCTCTGTTTCTTGTTAACTGATGCTCATGGTTAATGGTGACTTCCCTCAGGCTGCCCAGGGAGTGAATATGGCCGGTGTGTAACTCCAGCCCCCCCTTGCTGCAGAGCATGGGAGAGCTCTTAACGAGCTGGCCTGCCCAATGTTAAATGTTCAGCCCACACTTCTGATATGGATTTTATGGATTTCATTTATATTTGAGTCTTGAAGCCTTTGGAATAGAAAACATCAGCCCCTGCGCAGCAGCAGTTTGGGTGACTGCTCTCAAGCCTGGAGCCAAAATATCCCGGCATTTTCACAGTAACAGCAAATATTGGCCAGTGAGCAGGAGAACGTTCCTCATTTCCATGCTGGTTGAGGAGTAATAAAGGAGGAAAAACCCGGTGTTCCTGTCCTGTTATTCTCTACTGTACATGTGGATCCTGTCGGGCAGCAATCAACCACTTAACATATCTTAACCCCTGCCATATCTCATATAAAGTTATTGATAGAAAATTACCCAGTCTCTACATTTTAGTCTCACCCTTTTAATCTCTGATCTCCTCTGGGAAGGAGTTCCCCAGGATGTCACAAGCTGTGTGAAAAAGCATGTTGTTTGATTGGTTCTAAACGTACCTGCTGTTTAGTTGAATCCAGATGTGTTTCTCTTTATAGCATGATTTGTTCTGTTCCTACAGGTGTTTGATAAGCTTCTACTTTTCTCTCCTGAGTGTCCAACAGAGCAGATTCTGATGTCCACAAACTCACAGCTCAAGCTGCATGCAAACAGGTAAACAAAGAAAAGCCATTGCATTCTGATCCTGGGACATACAGGACAGAGAAAGAGTTCATAGCGGGATGCCCAGCCTATGGCCCATGGGTCATACATGATTCACCAGAGCATTTCGTAAGGCTGCAGCCCGCTTCAACACAGTACACTAACCGCTGATTCATTAGCCTTGTGTTGTCAAGTTCGCATCGTTTAGTGTACACAAGTGTGTAAATGGACAGCATTGTACACAGAAACAGCCTCTCTAATTACATACAAAACAAGCAGAATTTAAAAGATAAATCAATACTGGTGACATTAAAATACGTAGAATCTGTTTGGCCCACATAAGGTTGAGCATAGGTTACTGTGCCCCACCCCGTATAATATAGCTGGGCACCACTGGTTTATAACGTGTCCTTCCTTTTAGTGCAGGGAGCTGTCCATCTCTTTACATTGCAGCCAACTTTTTATCTTCTTTCCAAGAGCTACACAGACTTACAGAATTCTGGTGCATGGCACACCCCTTTTGGGCATGCAGCCTCTGCGGTTGCCTTCACATCAGTCTTTAAAGCCATCCCTGGTGCATACTCAGTAAAGCTCAGGCCTGGCCCCCAAGGGCTTAAGTGAAATTGAAGTGTGGCACCAGCCCCGTGCTAGCCCCCTGCACAGAGATATTAAGACCAGGTTGAGCTCTATGGTCAGTGCTAGAAATGAAGGGTCGCACATCTGCAAAGGCTTGTCTCAGGATGATGGCTTGGGTGGTTCTTAGCTCACGCGCACTCCCAGAGCTGTTCTTTTCCATGGAGAATACAATATGTGCTTTGCTGAGGGGTGTGTCTGGTACCCTACCGCCCCAAATGTGACCTTGAGCAGGGCTGGGTCTGAGCATCTGGAGAATACTGTGCCTTCCTCATGTCCTCAGTCTGTCGGCACAGGAAGCGAGATCGTCTCTGGGGCCCTGACTGATCTGTGAATGCGTATGTGGTGCTGCCACTAAGCCCCTTGCTCGGCCCTTCCATGCCTCATGTAAATAATAATAAAATATGCTAATCTGGGAACTGAAAGAGCTTGGAGGCCCAATATCAGGGGGGAGTTTGAAATTGCTGGGGGTGTGGCTTGTGTGAGAAAAGCCTTACCTGCTGAGGTTTCTCAAAACTTCACTGTCCCCCATTCAGACTGAGATTCCCAGCCGGGTACAATCTAACCATAGGTTTGTTCTCTCTGTTCTTGACCTAGGGAGGGGGCGGCACTTGTGAGCTCTCAAATCCTGCAGTGTTTCCCCAACTCTTCTGTCATCGAGGAGCACGGCCAGGGGCTGCTGAGAGCAGGACCCGTAACAGGCACTGCAGTGCTTGAAGTGACATCTCTAGAACTTTTTGGAGTCAACCAGACGATCCTAACTGGGGTCCGGGTAAGACTCACTGCAGACGTCTGCTGGAAAGAAAGGAAAGGAACAGCATCTCATCCTGTCATATCACTAAAGCCAACTGATGCTGAGAGGTCACCAGTTCGTTTGATCAGGATCTCTATGTTGGAGGGGGAAGGACCTGGTTCATGTAGGTGTACTGCAAAGCAGGCCTCCTGGGTATAACCTCTGCTCTGCATTGACCCAACTTGTGACCTTGGAGGCCAGTCGCATCACTTCTCTGAGCCTTAATTTACCCACCCAAAAAATGGGGGGTGCTGTTGTGGTGTGAGGGTTAACATTTGTAAATCGTCCCGTTGCGTGAAAGGCCCCAGGGAAGTGCAAAGTATCTGTTGCTTTGTATTTTGGGTATTGATAATTTAAGGGCAATCTGAACTGCTTTGACTGATGGGAGAGCAAGCAGAAAGAGATATTGATGGTTCGGTGCATGATGCTTTTCCTTCTGAATTTCCGGTAGCTATGAACCATTGTACACTTGTACATAACAATTGGTCTGTTTTGGGGGGAAAGACAGGAATTTCATGTGTGTTTGTAAAGTGAACCAAGGCAGCATTGTCTCTTGCAGGTGGCTCCTGTGTCATACTTGAGGATAAGCACCAGCCCTCAGCTCTACACGACTAGCAGCACATCTCTGATGGCCTTTCCTCTGGGCATGGCTCTTACTCTCACTGTCCAGTTCTATGACAATATCGGGGAAAAATTCCATGCCCAGAACACCCAGCTTTACCTGGCTTTGAACAGGTACTGTTGAGGAGGCAGGCACATAGCTGACTCACAGGTAACATTTTAGCAGCACAAGTGGTGGGAGAGGTGCAAGGCTGTGTGTGTCAGGGCTATAGCAGATTTGAAGGGAATTTTCCAGAAGTGAAAAGCTGGTTCACTTCACTCACTGTGCTAAGTTCGCGCTGTGGCTTTTACCCTTGAAATACCTGATGATCTCTCCTGGGCATCCCAAGTGCTGCTCGTTTTCCTTTGATTGGAGCTTGTTTGCTTTCAGAGATGACCTGCTTCTAATCAGACCGGGAACTAGGAATTACACGTATGTGGCTCAGGCTGTGAACAGAGGAGTGACAGTGTTGGGAATCTGGGATGAGAAGCACCCAGGCATGGCTGACTATGTCCACGTGTCTGTAGAGCATGCCATCCAGCCGGAGCTCTCCAAGCCCATTGCAGTAGGAGATGTGATCTGTTTCAGCACACCCCTGGTCAGCCACGAAGGTTTGTATGCTGATTTGTTGTTCCTGCTGGCTTGTAATCTCTCGCTGTTGTAGTATCCACATGTTAGATCTCAAGAGAGCGAGGCAGCCCATACTGGAATGGGAGGCCACTAAAGGGACATAGGAGCTGTATTGGAGCTTTAATGGGGGGCATCTTCCCCAGAGCTTAAAAGTCTCAGAGGGGGAGCCATGTTAGTCTGTAACTGGAAAAAAAAATAAAAACCAATGAATGGTCCTGCAGCACCATAGAGACTTCCACCACCCCCATCAACCTCAGCCTGGGCCAGTCCACACGAGAGAGACACTTCCTGGACACTGCAATACAATTACATGGTGGCCACATTTCCACCACCTTATCCCGGAAACCTACCGACCGCTACACTTATCTACATGCCTCCAGCTTCCCTCCCAGACACATTTCACAGTCCATTGTTTACAGCCAGGCCCTAAGATCCACCTGGATTTGCTCTAGTCCCACAGACGGAGACAAACAGCTACGGGATCTCTGTCAGGCATTCTTAAAATGGAAATACCTACCTGGGGAGGTGAACAAACAGACTGACAGAGCCAGACGAGTACCCAGACATCAGCTTCTCCAAGACAGGCCCAACAACAGAACACCACAGGTCATCACCTACAGCCCCCAACTTAACCCCCACCAGCGCATCTTTAACAAGCTACAACCTTCTCCTGGAAACGATCCCTCTTTCTCAGAGGCCATGAGGGACAGGCCAATCCTCGCCTACAGACAGCCCCCAACGCCAAACCAATTCTATCCAGCAACCACACAGCACACCTCCATCATACTCACCCAGGAACCCACCCCTGCAATCGGCTCCACTGCCGACTTTGTCCACACACCTATGCAAGCGACATCATCACAGGACCTAACCACATCAGCCACCACATCAGAGGCTCATACAACTGCACACCCACCAGTGAGACCTATGCCATCCAGTGCTAGCAATGCCCCTCTGCCAGGTATAGCGGCCAAACTGGACAGTCGCTACTACAGAGGATTAATGGACACAAACCAGATATTCAAAATGGTAACACACAGAAACCTGTTGGGGAACATTTTAACCTGCCCGGGTGCTCATTTGTGGATCTATAAGTGACTATATTACAAAGCAATTTAAAACACCAGGTGGAAAGAGAAACTGGAGCTTGCCTGTATCTACAAATGTGACACCTTTAATCAAGATCTGAACAAAGACATGAACTGGTTAGGCCGGGACATTCAACACCCTCATGACATCAAAAGTTAAGTATTGGGCATGTACAGCCCACTCTATTAGCCTCATTTAGCACGGACACTAATTGACAAGATTGCTCCCCCTTCTCTTCTCTTCCCCTCCCCATCCCCTCTTTTTCTGCTATTTATTTGTGCCCTGGACCCCTTGCTCCTTTCATCTGTAGAAAGCTCATAACACCATCGACATTTTTGTAGCCTCCAAGGTGCCTCAGGACCATTCATTGTTTTTTAAGTTTCCCCGGAGTTGGAACTGAACTGACGTCCCAGCATGAAATTTGGGTTCTCTGTGCAGCTGAAGGTGCTGACTTGCAGGCAACATAACACGGGCTGTGGTAGGGGAGTTCACACCAAATTCTAATTCAGACACACACTGCTTTCAGAAAGTTGTTGTCCGATTTCAAGATGGCTTCCGCTGCCTCCGGTAACTCTGTGGCAGACAGGAGAAGAGCCAGTGTAAAACGCATCACTGCTCCACCATGGGAGTTTGAACTCTTACTGGCACCAAGGAGCTAGTTTTGGACATGTTAAGGGGGGCTCCCTTTAGCTTGCCCTCCTAGGACGAGCCTGGGTAGCTGATTTTGGCAGCAAGTAGTGAGGAGGAGGAGATGGGCGCCACTGCACAGGGGAAAGCAGTGTTGTCGTGACGTCTGCATGAAGTCAGTTTTGGGATTGAGCAC